TACGAGGTTTATTTTGAGTCTGAGGCCAGCTTCAATTCCTCACGTGGCTTATATGGTGCTTTGGAAGAGAGGTGGAGATTGGGATGGGTGAAGAATTATTAATGTTTTATTTTTTCCTCTGCCGATTGTAAATTTTTCATTTGCAAGTAGTGGAATTCTGCGCGAGATTGTTTCGGGCCTTCGACTCATTCACGTGAATATTGTAGTGGTTGGTACGTACAGTCTTTTGAGAAGTGAAAGGCTGCTAAAAATTTCCGGTGGCAAGTCCTTCAATTGGTTATGAGATAAGTCCCTGTCAGCAAGAAATAATCGCATCAGATAGTTAATTGAATGTGCCCTGTTAGTGGAAACTATAAACGACTTCTACGGGAGAAAGTCTTGATCTATTGAGTTTTAAGCGCCCTCTTGAATAAGCAAACCACCTCCCCCCTCCCCCCTCCTCCCCCAACTCTCTCTACTACCGCTTTATCTATAATTTTTTAAGCTTCAACTACAGCTGAATCAGTGCAGGTTCATAGATTCTTAATAAGAACCTCCCTCGGTTAAGCACCCCTCCTTTTAGGAGAAATTTGGAATGAGCACTTAGACGCTTATTCGAGGACTTACTTTACGAGCGTGTGCACGAGAAAACCGGGCAGCAGGCGAAAAAACTTCAAATCGCCGATTTGGCTCATTCTTGGCACACATGCTTAGTATCATGAGTTAACAAATGTGTGAAAATATTAGGTAAAAATATTTTATATCCTAGGAGATATAGGGTCCCCCTGGAAAAACCCCCATTTCTTGCATTTTTTGCATAATTAACTAGCCAACTTTGCATTGCTTCTGTAACAAACTGAAAATCCAACTGCAGATTCAATCAACTGGCTTCTATGTTATATCTATCAGACCTCTGGAAAATAGATTTGTTTTAACTTTTCCATTTCATTTCTTCCCTCACCTCGTACTTAAGTAAAGACGACTTTTCTGGTTTTGACAAAGTCCAAAAATAAGGGTATTTTAAGGCCCAATATCTCCGACGAGCAACTACTTCAGATCGTTATTCCTATATGGGCAGTGAAAGCCATCACTGGTCTTCCAAAATCAGTAACAAAATTTTTGGGAAACTATTTGATAGCTCGTGCTGACGTGAAATTTACTCTACCTCCCGCTTTTTATTCTATATCATCCAAGCTGCGTACACCACATCTTTGTTTTATGAACTTAAAATAACTTGAAATTTACAAGAAACTTCCCAGAGAGTATCGTTTAAACATGAACCAGGAGAGAATATTTGAACAGCTCAAGTTTAGCCATTTTTGAGAACTTTTTTAGCAGTCATATTTGGATTATTCTCGTGGAAATCCAGCAGTTGATGATGAACATCAAGGGCGCATGTAGTCAAACTTTCTGACCAAAGAAATCTAGGAAGACAGTTGATAGTACATACATGTCTCTGTGGTGCCTCAGTTGCAACTTTTGACTCGATATCATTTGTTAGATAAGTGGCAATCATGTCAACAATGTACCAGATTCGAATTGGTTCGTCGCCTGTCCGGGCGTTCCCAAATAACCCAGTTTAGTAACACTCTATCTGCAGCACTTCCAGTTTCTGTAGGTGTGCCTCAGGGTAGTGTCCTGGGGCCACTTTTCTTCATTATTCATATCAACGACTTGCCGTTAAACCTACATTCAGGCGTAACTTCAACTATGTTTGCGGATGATACTACTCTTCTTGTTCGAGGGCCCTCTGTTACTTCCCTCGGCACTCATTTGAATGAAGTTGTTAGAACTGTATCTACATGGGCTGATAATAATCGAATGTCACTTAACACCACCAAAACTAAATCTTTCCTTATTAAGACCCTGCAGTAACGCCGTACTTTAATCAGCTCGGCACTCAATGTCCAAATCAACGGTAGATCCATTGAGCAAATGGACTATACCAAGATATTGGGCGTCACGATAGACACTGTGACATGTCTAAGGAGCATCACATCGATGCAATATGCTGCATAATTTGCAGTAGGCTTTCTCTTCTCCATCGCATCAAACCTTATCTTAACTTTGATTCTGCTATAAGGTTCTATAATTCTTGTGTTAACAATTACTTTATTTATTGTTCCGCTACCTGGGGTAACTGTTCCCACCATCTACTCTTACGACTGCTTCGTCTTCAAAAGCGTGCTGGGCGTATACTCCTTGATGCCGACCTCTCTCAGGCCTCTATTTCCTTATTTTTAAAACTCAACTGGATCCCCGTTTTTGACCTTATTAAATACAAGAAACTTTTACTTCTTTTCATCGTACTCTTTAATCCAATTGCTCCTATATGTCTTAGAGATAGATTTCAACTTCTTTGTAATTCACGTGGACCACAGGGCCGTCTTACAAGATCGTCTCTCTACGACTTAAAGGTACCATTCCCACATAGCAATTCTGGTAAACGCACGTTGGCCTGTAGTGCTACTAAACTTTTTAATGACCTCAGTTCTGACTTGAAAGCGTTTTCTCTTTCTTCTTATTCACCACCGTTATTTAAATCTCTTCTCTCCTCCCTTAAGTCCAAAATACGAAGTCTGTTTCTCTCAGGCCTATCATCGGCCGAGCACATGGAGGATCTATTGTGCTCGACTTGCCGCTATTCCATGGATTGTCACTGTTTTTTATAGTCCTACTATAATTACTATTCGTCTTTAATCTATATTTATATATGTATGTGTCCGTGTTCATTTGTAGCTTTTCCCCCTTTCGTAGATTTATATTATTCATTTCGTTTTTATAGTATATTCTAGTTTATATAATGCCTTTTGTGAATATATATGTTTTTATCTTTTATACTTATTTGTCTATTTGTTTACTTATTTTTGAGGGCCGTAGGTTAGAAAACTGTAATAGTTTACTGCGCTTCCCTCTTTAAATAAAGTAATTGTATTGTATTCAATTGTATTAAACGCAGATAGAGCTCTCGGAAAGATCCATCAAAATGATTGGTCTTTTACGATGATACTTATCGACCAACATGATATGTGATGGTAGCAAAAATTTTCTAACTTGATGCTTTATAAGCTGATGATAATCAAAAGGACAATCCGTGGACAGAGCTGAATAACGTACACACATGCGGTAGGTTTTGCCAAGGAAACACGGATTTTAAGTGGTTCGCATGAATGATTTCCTATTCTGTTGCTTCGAGGTGTCGCTTTCCTTGCCGCTTTTCTTTTACAGAACAAACCTCCAAAAACTTGGTACACTCCCTAAAAATTCTCAAAAATTAATTTTCTCCTTAAATCCTCTGAAAACAGGGAAATGCCTTCGACGAAAACAGAATTCCTCGGCTTTAAAAGTCAGCCCTTATTATTTTTTGCTAATTTCGCTAACCTTTAGACCTAGGACACCTGAGCCCGCGTTGTTGACCGCAACCCACTGACTCTATCCAATCCGCCATCTTTGATCAGACCACGCCTGCAATTTTGTTCAGCGGTCAACTCTGATATTTATTTGGCATGTTGTGTTGCCAGTTTACAAAGTTTAAGATATAACAGATTTACGGCTGCCAAATTATTTGACTTGTTATTTATTAAGCTTGAGATAGTTGCTGGTTCACCGAAAAACAAGTAAGCCCGTCATATATGGGTCTTCTATGATCCTATCAGCACAGGGAAAAAGAAAAGGGTTAAAAACCTGACGCGCATGTAGAAATCACTTGCATATTTTATCCGAGGTTCCCTGCATACATTTGATATGTAATCTCTTGCAGCTGTCTATTGTAATATCTGGCTCTTTGTCGAGGTGTACCTTAGAAATTGGTCAACTGCAAAAGTGCGGATTATTAGTGAAAGGTGGGGTGAGGAAAGAGGGGATCAACAGTCAATTTCGTAGTAAGTATCAGACAGAAGTGTAATTGCCGCTCTTAAAGATTACAAATAATAACCGACAATAATAATAACAATAATAATAATAATGATGGTTTATTAAAAGACACATAGTGGCTGTTTCGTTTAGTAAAGAGGCGTTGCCTATGATGACAGATATAATTTAATTAACACAACTCGTGATTGACATTAATTCCTCACAATGATTTAAAGTGTTAGCTTGTCGTGATTTAAACCGGTTTTTTTTTAGAAGAATCAGTGAGAGAGAAGTAGATTTTTGTATCTGCTCGCTTACCCGAATCTGCTAACCTGAAGTGAGAAACCTGTTTTTACGACCCGCCACAGAAGTAAGTTTCCAGTCATGTTTTCTTAAATTTTGCCATGAGATTAAGACTAAATCTGCGTTTTCTGATTTCGAATTACAAATGTATTTCTCTTAGATCGAATAATCATTAAAGTTTGGATAATATTATACGGTTTGTGGTGGTCGTCTGAGCTGACCAGTTCCAAGTAAGGAAACATTTCATTCGATTTCTGGGTTGTAACTAAGAATTACGGAAGAGCACATGGCCGAGGACGCCCTGGAAACTGCGAAAACTGAAAGGAGGACTGCCAAAGGAACGCTCTGTCAGCACCAGACAACACCAAGATGTTCTCAATAAAGGCGATTGGAATCCCGTGCATTAGCGAAGAAGTGTCAGCAGTTCAGCTTAAACCAATCGCCAAGCTTCTAGGACTGGAAAACGAAAAGATACGCAGAGGCAATGGTCCTGTTGACTTACTGATAGGAATCGATCACGCCCAGATGCATACTGGACAGACCAGGCAAACGGGACAGTTAGTTGCGAGAAAAACGCCTCTGGGACAGATGGTTTTCGGTGGACCGTCGGGAGAAACCCAAGTGAATGGCCGTGTCTATCATGTAAGATTTGCCACGCCAGTAGAAATGTCAGACTTTTGAAAGACTGAAGCAATGGGAGTAGAAGTTAAACCGTGTGTTTGTGAGGCTTACAAGCTAACACAAGCCGAAAGAGAGGAAGCTGAAATCATTTCCAAGTCATGTGAAAAGGTGGGCAATCAGTGGAAGGTATCGTACCCCTGGAAGTAAAACCCCATGCTGTTGTTGGATAATAAACCAATAGCGATGAAACGGTTGGAAAGTACGGTAAGACGCCTTAAAAAAGACGAAGAACAAGGAGTGGCTTACGACAAACAAATGGAAGAAATGAAGGAGATGAAGTTCTCAAGAAAGCTGTCTAAAGAAGAAATTAAGAATTACAAAGGCCCGGTACATTACATTCCTCACCATGCGGTGATTCGACCCGAGAAGAAAAGCACACACGTACGGCGTCTTTAAGGCGTCTTCAATTCCTCCTCAGTTTACCAAGGTCACGCGCTGAACGATTATTGGCTTAAAGGACCCAATCTGTTGAACAATCTCTTTGGAGTCGTCTTGAGGTTTAGAGAAAGAGAAGTAGCAGTGATGGGTGACATATCCAAAATGTATCACCGAGTACTCATCCCGAAAAAGGATCAACATGTCTATCGGTTCCTATGGAGAAATTTGGAAACGGAGAAAGAACCCGATGTGTACGTAAAAACCTTCCTCACGTTTGGTGATAGGCCGGCGCCTGCTATGGCCCAAACTGCGTTAAGAAAAACAGTAGTATCACACTTGCATGGATTCAACGCCCTTCCCGCAGTTTCAAGCCGTTTGTCTCGGCAAGGGTCGGAGAGATCCAGAATAATTCGGATCCAAGTCAATGGGAGCACATTCCCGGTGAAGAAAACGTAGCGGATGATTTATCGCGAGGATTGCATGGAAAGCAGCCAACGGGGAGATGGGTGAACGACCCAGAATTTCTGAAACTTCCAGAAGAACGATGGCCATTCCAAACAGCTACACTACATCGAGAAGAAGATATGGAGCGTCGCCACGTCAACTCCGTCAGAGCAGCCTCACCTGCAGATGTCGGAAATGTTATCAACGTGGAGAATTTCTCTAGTTGGCGAGAACTGATACGAGTCACCACTTGGATAAGGCGGTTAGCCGAGAAGATACACTTCAGGAAAAATGCAACCAGTGGACGAGAAGGACCTCTCATGCCCGAAGAGTTAAGGAAGGCTGAGATGTCATGGATCAGAAATGCCCAAAAGGATTTGAAGAGTCGAATGAGGAATGGAGAGTTTAAGACCCTGAGCCCGTATGTTGACGACAAGGGGATTATCAGGGTTGGAGGAAGAGTTGACAAAGCCCTCGTGTCATACGAAGAAAAGCACCCAGTGCTGCTTCCCAATGAACACAGGATATCCCTGCTGATCACACGTCATATGCACAACCATGGTCATCCCGGAGTAGCGACAACAACTGGAAAAGTCAGACGAAAATACTGGATGTTGAAAGCGAACAAGCTCAGCAAGACAGTGAAATTTAAATGTGTCACTTGTCGAGAAATGGCACACAAGGCAGAAACGCAATTAATGGCAGACCTTCCGGCTCTTCGCTCAGCTCCGCAAACGCCGCCCTTCTACTACTCCTCATGCGATTACTTTGGTCTATAAATTACAATGTGCTTACATAAGTTAGAACAAGAAATAAAACTAAATCTGTTTCAAAGGGACTGGGATTACAGGCTATTTATAAATTATTTACATTTCAGATATAGATAAAATGCTATAATAGAGTAATCAAACTCATAAGATTACTTGATTTTCGCTATTGCTGGGAAAAAACTAGAGCTAAAGCGTTTTGTTCTATACTGAAAACAGCTTGAAAAGACGGTGCAGCTGGCAGGCCGGATTATTTTTGATATTGTGCCACACATTGAGACACAGGTGGGCGCGTCTATCCTCTAGACTGATAGTGTTGGCTCGCACAAGGGCCTGTTGACAGTGGAGGTCAGGATATACGATTTGCATGACCCTCTTCTGGATAGCCTCAAGCTGGTCAATGAGGAAGCGAGGAGGGCAGGTACCCAGAAAACAGAAGAGTATTCGAGAAGTGAGCGAACCAGAGCACTATAGATGGTGACAAAATCCACTGGAGGGACCCCAGCGCGCTTCAAGACCCTGAGGATGTGCAGTCGCCTGGACGCCTTGGAAACGATGTCGTGGGTGTTATCGTTCCACTCAAAGGTGTCACTCAGGGTCAGACCAAGTACTTTGTAGGATGACAAAGCCTCTGGATGTAAGTTATTGATGGAAAGCATTGGGGGAACAGGCTTGGTTTTGAGTGGACAAATAATCATGATCTTGCATTTTTGGGGTTGAGATTCATGTTGTTCTGCCGGGCTCATTACGAAAAGCAGTCGATGTCGTTCTGCAGAAATGACGCTTCCCCCAAACTGGTAACCTCGGATATTGTTACATCATCGAGGTACTTCCAGTGGCTCGAGCGGAGGGGGGAGTGAATAGCCAGGTCATTAATCATTATCAGAAAAAGAATTGGCATGTACACCGGCATGTACGCGCATCTACCCAGAGATGTAGTCTAAGAGCTTAACAACCTGGCGGCGGCCACTGAGGAAGCTGCAAATCTAGCTGATCAACCATCCTCTAACACCTAGATGGATTTGCTTGGTCACCAAGATGGTGTGGTCAATATGATCAAATGCTTTACTAAAGTCTAAAAAGCACACACAGAGGAACTTGCCACTAATGTTGACATCAAAACCCAGAACAGTGGCGGATCCAGGGGGAGGGTCCGGGGGATCCGAACCCCCTCTATTAGACCTGACGCCTACAACTTTGACACAAGATCGTATATCACTTTTTAACTGGATGATTTTTTTAATGAATCCAAGTAAAAAAGGTAAGCGGCCAAGGAATTATAACGTGCAACGGTGACTGGTAAGAAGGGGTGTGGGGATGAAGTAATTTGCCTCAAAAGAGTCCAACAGTCCTTTCTGAACCAAAGTTTGGACCCCACCAATCAAAAATTCCTGGATCCGCCTATGCAGAAGAAAACCTCCTTTGTGCGCAGAGGCTTATACTTTTCTTAATGACTCAAGTGGGCCAGAGACTATGCTTCCCCGAACTCCTTCAAGTCCGAAAATGTTAAATTTACAGTTGGCAAAGCAATTGATGAGAGAAACTGTGTAGTAAGGACGTCGGCATGCATTTCAAATTGTCGGAGTGTCAGACTCAGCTACATTTTCAGAAAGTGTGTACATGAGAGCAGGATTTTGCGACACCAACTCTCGTGTATTTGCAAACATCCCAGGCATATGGTGATAGGAAAGACAACTAGAATCCTCCCTTTTACATTTCGCGGATCCTCGTGTTTTCGCAAACGTCTGTGAGGTCGTTAGGGGGCAAACATAGCAAGTTACTACAGGAGAAATCCTGGCGAAAGGTTGTTTCGACGTTCAAGAAAACGATGTGGAAGAGACACGATCGCTTTTTTGGCGCCGTTTTTTCAGGAATGGATTTAGCCAAAGTTAATACGAGGAAAATGTAAGTTTTTGTTTACGTTCATTTACGCAACACGCCTCGCATAGTTTTCACTACTTCAACTTTAGATGGAAATATCTAGACAACCAATCAGAATATCGAAAAAGCCTAACATACTTTTGCTGATTGATGTCTTGTGACTGCGTACACTTTTTGCCTGCGCTGCGACAACCGATACCTGATAAATTCAATAGAAGAACCCTTGATCGATTCACTTCTCACCGACTCTTGACATTTCCTTAAAGGAAAACTCTTTAAATTATACTTTAATCGTAGTTTGCATTTATTAAGCTTTCTTCTGATGTATAGTTTGCAAGGATTTCATGAGAGTAAGGTGCGTATGAATTTTTTCCCAAGGACACCCACTAAGGTGGGAAGTAACCTTAAGTCTTGGATAGGATATTTGACCACAGAAAGTCGGTGGTAGTGTGACTAGCACTGTGGCATTAAAGTCTGATAGATATCTCCTTTCAAACTGATCCTATTAATATTTTTAACTGAGTAGGATAACTTTGACAATCATGCAACCTTGTACTTGACTAAAAATAAACATTGCTGATTTCCAAACACATTCAATGTTGCAAGGTTGCTAAGGGATCTCCAGATCTCGTGGTAAACTACTTCTCCTAGTTCCTCCGTCTACGTGATCAACACTGCGCCATCCTCTACCTAGCCGGCAATGCTATTCAGGAGTCCAGCGGGTATGTCATATAATTAGTTACAGTGTGGCCGGGGTAAAAAGGCTGCCAGAATATATCATGCTCTCCGAGGCCAGATATGATATGACAGTACACCGCAAGAGATTACATCTCAAATGTATGCAGTAAACCTCAGATAAAAGATGTAAGTGATTTCTATATACGTGTCAGTTATTTAACCATTTTCTTTTTTTTTCCCTAAGCTGATAGTAGACCAATGTATCACCAGCTTATTCGCTTTACGATGAACCAGCAACTATCTCAAGGTTAATAAATAACAACTCAAATACTTTGGTAGCCGTAAATCTTTGTTACATTTTAAACTTTGTAGACTAGAAAAACAACATGCTAAATGAATGTCAAAGTTGACCGCTGAACAAAATTGCAGGCGCGATCTGACCAAAGACGATGGATTGTCATTTTGATTGACATCAGTTTTTAGGGCATCGAGTTATCTTTTTGCCACCATAACATTTCATGTAAGTCGATAAGTATCATCGTAAAAGGCCAATAATTTTGGTGGATCTTGACGAGAGCTCTATCTGCGTTTAATAGTTCAACAAGTCAACGAAGCAAATCGAATCCGGTACATTGTTGACATGATGGCTACTTACCTAACAAATGATATCAAGCCAAAAATTGCAACTGAGGCACCACAGAGACATGTAAGTACTATCAAGTTTCTTCCTAGATTTCTTTGGTGAGAAAGTTCGACTACATGCTCCCTTGATGTTCATCATCAACTGCTGGGTTTCCTCGAGAATAATCCAAATATGGCTGCGAAAAAAGTTCTCAAAAATGGCTCAACTTGCGCTATTTAAATATTCTTTCCTCTTTCATGTTTAAAAGATACTCTCTGGGAATTTTCTTGTAAATTTCAAGTTACTTTAAGTTACTAAAACGAAGATGTGGTGTACGCAATTTGAATGATGTAGACTAAAAAGCGGGAGGTAGATGTAAATTTTACGTCAGCACGGGCTATGAAAAAATTTGGCCAAAAATTTTGTTATTGATTTTGGAGGTCCAGTGATGGCTTTCACTGCCCATATAGGAATAATAATCAGAAGTGGTTGCTCATCGGAGATAATGGGCCTTAAAATACCCTTAGTTTTGGACTTTTCCAAAAGCAGAAAAAGTCGTCTTTACTTAAGCGAGAGGTAAGGGAAGAAATGAACTGAAAAACTTAAAACATTTAATTTTCTAAAGCTCTGATATATATAACATAGAAGCCAGTTGATTGAATTTGTAGACGGATTTTAAAGTGGGACTCGCGATGCAACTGGCAAAGACAAAACTCTTTGATAGAAGTATAACATTTACAAATAATTCGAGACCTCTCCTAATTTGTGAAACGACGTAAGTTTTTATGTTATCCGTTGTGGACAGCCGGCTTTCGCTCATCGCCTTTCCTCCCCCCCAACGGCACCCCCACTAAAGAATGTCCTAAATAGCTGCGCAAATAAGTAGTTTGACACTGTATGTGGGGTCATCTTCAATTTAGCACCACCCCTATTCCCTTCACCCCACCTCCGTGAGAACATCTTCCCGCCACTTTTGATATTGTAAATACAATCCAAAATAGGAAAGAGGAAAAAAGGTTTCTCGACCACTTTGGAGAACAAAGAAACCAATATTTGTTTGGAATGGACGCAACAGCGACGTGGCATCAGTTCAACCAGATAAACTCATCGAGATATCCATGTCGAAAAAAAAATTATTTTAATAATTAACGCTCAGTAAATGCTCTCACAGAAAGTGGAGCGTTCACTTGTCAACAATACAAGGGAAGCGTAAATCCAGCGAGTTATAGATACAATGGGAAACAGATTATTTCAGAACCCTGAGGCTGGTGCAATCTGCAATCTTTCTGCGACAAACGGATGACTCTAGAGCAATGAAATGATGATTATGATGATGACGATGGTTGTAAAACTACAAACAAGCTCGAAAGCTGAGATTCAATTTCCTTAACGCGACAAAGCGTCTTAGGAATGCGAAACAACATGATGGTAATAAAGCTCTCCTCCTGTGGAAATGATCAGAGATATGTGACTAAGAGAATGTTTGCGAAACTCTTAAAGAAAATTGTAGTGTGAATGAGTAGTTGAACCGCCAGCTTGCCTGGGACCGAGTGTTTATCAAAAATACCACATTATGCGACACCGCGGAAATACGTTTATTAGGGCATGATACAGTATTTTCCTGGTCAGCGGACACCTTAACGAAACCATGAAATGCCCATAACCTTTAAAATGTCTTCGTCGTGAGTCAAATCGACAGCGTAAAAAGGCAAAACTTAGAAAGAATTCTATAAACTTAGCTTTGAAACTCAGCTAACCTTTTGGATAGCTCTTATGCTAAGTTATATAATTTGCCAAAGCCGAACTGAAGTTGTACACGATATGAAATTGT